TGGTGCCAACAATCAGCGGTGCAGCAGCCGCCGCAGCAGCGGCAGCCGCAGCTGCGGCGGCTGCGCAGCGCACAGTGCCGCCCCCCATGCATCCTGCAACCCCTATAATCTTGCAGCAGCAGCACCAGCTGCAGCAGCAGCAGCAAGCGTTGCAGCCCCTAAGAACGCGCAGTGACTGTGGCGTGTATCAGCCGATGCGAAGAAGCAGCACTATGATTCCAACAACAGGCGAAGCAGCAGCAGCAGCAGCAGCAGCAGCAGCTGCAGCTGCAGCTGCAGTTGCTGCAAGGCCACGCCGCCAGTCTTGGCCCTTTTGCGCTGCTACAGGGGCGCCAGCAGCAGCAACACCGCCAGCGGCAGCAGTATCACCAGCAGCAACCATAGCAGCAGCAGCAACAGCACCCTCACCAGCTATCACCCCTCAAAGCACCTTCTGGCGTCGCGGTGTATCGACAGCCTCGCTGGACCTCCCGCCACCTCAGCAGCTGCACTCGTCCAGCGCTCAGCAGCAGCCGCTGCTGCTGCCTCAGGCACCACTGTCCGCAGCAGCAGCAGCGGCTGCAGCAGCAGATCGCAGCACTCCTGCTGCTTACACAGAGCCAAATTCTGCAACAACGCAATCAACTGCAGCATTTGGTGTCTCTCTCTCGCCAACCGTGCAGCAGCAGCAAGTGCTGCAGCAACTTGACACCTCGGGTGTATGTACACCTGCGTCTTGGCAATTAAATCATGCGCAGCAGCAGCAACAGCAACAGACAGTACCTCCAGCACTTGAAGGGTCACCGGCCCTAGCTGGTGCTGCAGCTACCCCAATAGCAACCCGTGGCTCACTGACGCCTTCTCACTTTTCTCCTGTCCTTTCACCTGCTGCTGCGGCTGCTGCACCTGCTTCTGTTGTTGCTGCGCCTGCTGCTGCTGCTCCTACAGCTTTGGCATCATCACCACTTCGTTATCCTGGCGTGGAGCCGTGGGAGCGCCCCCGGCGGCGCTTTCTTTCCGACCCTTCTCCAGCAGCAGCAGCAGCAGCAGCAACAGCAGCAACAGTCCCCTTGGGGCGCAGCAACGAAGGTCTGGCAAGCTTCCTTAGCCGGGCCAGCAGCAGCACAACTTTGCGCCCTTCACCTGAAGTTGCGGATGCATGGAGCCCTGTCGCAGCAGACACGACTGTTGCTGCTGCTGGTGCCACATCTGCTGCTGTTTCTCCTCAGCACCTCGGCATGCGGCGCAACAGCTACCCCGTGTCCCCTGCCCTTTCTTCAATGCGGCGGCACGCTGCTGCTGCTGCTGAGGGAGCGATGAGGGCTGCAGCAGCAGCAGCAAGAGCCCGCAGTGCTGCTGAAGTCGCTGCCACGGCAGATAGCCTTGCAGCAGCATCGGCAAGGAGAACGTCTGCTGCTTCCAGCCGCAGCAACACCCCTACGCGTCTCTACTCTCCCTCCTCTGTGGCACCCTTCTCGCCTCCCATGCCGCTGCAGCTCCCGCCGCTCGAGCCTGCTGCTCTGTCTCCAAAGCCGCTGCAGCAGCAGCAGCAGCTGCAGCAGCAGCAGGACTTGCTGCTGCGCTCCGCTGCAGCAACACCTGAAAGCTTCAGCTTGCCAACCTTGCAGCCGACGGTGCAGGGGCCAGTGCTGGATGCCGCCGATAACTCAGAAACGCCGCAACAGCAACAACAGCAGCAGCTGCAGCAACTGCAGCAGCAGCGGCAGAACAACGTGATATCTCCGTCTGTTGTAAGTACCCGGTCACCTGCCTCTACTGCTTCTGTGATGCGTCCACAGATGCTCACAAGCACCCTGTTGCAGGAGAACGTACAGTCGCCGCTGCAGCATCAGCTGCTGCCTGAGTTGCTGCAACAGCCGCAGCAGCAGCAACTGCCTCAGATGCCGCACCAGGCGCCAACGCACGCCATGAGTCCACTGGTGCTGCAGCAAGCGCCAGCCTCCTCCTTGACTGACCAGCCGACCCATCTCATTTCACGTTCATATTCGTTGCAGCAGCAACAGCAGCACCAGCAGCTGCAGCAGCAAGATGCATTCCTTCCTACATCTCCAATGAGCCGCCAATCACCTTCTCCAGCCACGCAAAGGGCCCTAAGCCCTCAGGGGACCCCTGAGCTCTTACCGCTGCAGCAGCAGCAGATAGAGACGGCAGAGCCGTTGCTTGCGCTTGACTCGGGAAGCCTCATAACGTTTGCAGCAGAAACCCCAGCATCAGCTGACCAGAGCCAGCGCCTGCAGCAGCCACTGCAGCAGCAGACGCTGCAGCAGCTGCAGCAGCTGCAGCAGCAACAGCAGCCAAGCACTGAGCTAACCGCCACCGTCTCTCCTTCAAGAGCCGCTGCAGAGAGAGCAGCAGTAGCTGCTGCCAGGGCAACGGCTGCCGCTCAAAACGCCACAGCAGCATGTGCGCGGCTGCAGCAGCTGCAGCAGCAGCAGCTGGTGCCTCAAGGGGTGGCGGCAGCAGCAGCTGCAGCAGCGATGGCTGCTGAGACCGGCGCCTCTACAGCTCAGTTAGCAGCAGAGAGAGCGGCGCTTGCCGCTGCAGCAGAGGGAGCAACACCTGCTGCTGCAGCAAGACCTGCTCTGGCTGTCGGTTCTTCGTTGCTTCGCAGCAACTCACTCCCTGTGGGTCTGGCGTCGTCAGCTCGCCAGCAGCAGCAGCAGCAGCAGCAGATGCTACCACTTCGCTCCAACACAGGAGGCAGGCTGCAGCAAGCTTCAACTCCGCGGCTGCTGTCTCCAGTAGCTCATCAGCAGCATTCATTTCCTCTTGCGCAGCAGAACAGCTTCGGTTCAGGGCCCCTCAGAAGGGCCGACAGCTCCCTTAGTCTTAGCCCGGCCTATAGGAAGCTTCAGCCGCTGCAGCGCCAGCAGCAGCAGCAGCGGCAGCTGCAACTGCAAATGCAACAACGCACTGCTTTGCAGCTTCGAGAGCAGCAGCTGCTGCAGAATCAACGCAGCCTGAGGCAGCAGCGTCATGAGCTGGAGAGACAGCTGGCGGAGGAGCAACAGAAAGGAAGCACTGGAATGATACGCAGCAGCTCAGCGGGGCAGCTGCAGCAAATCACTGACATGCAGCAGCAAACGAGACTGCCTAGCCCTGCTTTCTCCTACCGACGGATGGGCACGGGCCCCACACCACGCAGCAGTGGGACTCCTATCAGGTTCAACTCTCTTGGGCAGCAGCAGCAGCAACTGCAGCAGCAGCAGTCACCTGTACGTACTCTAAGCAATTGGCCTGCCTCACCAGTCTTCACGCCTACGGGGACCGTCGGGGTTGGCAGTCGCTCCCCTGGTTTGCTGCCAAGTGCAGCAGCAGCAGCAGCAGCACCCGCGGCAACAGCATCAGCGCCAGCAGCAACAGGAGCAGCATCAACAGTGTCAACACCGCCAGCAGCAGCAACAGCAGTAGCAGTAGGAACGCCCATAGGGGCTCCAGCAGCTATTGCTAGTTCTTTACCTTTCCACGCCCGCATATACTCCCCAGCTAGCAGCCCCTCAAGGACGGGAGGCCCAGCGATTACAGCCTATTCACCGATTGATGCAATATCTCCTTTCAACCTGCGGCAGAGCCAGATGCAGCAGCAGAAGCAGCGGCAGCTCCAGCTGCAGCAGATGCAGCAGCAGCAGCAGAACCGATATGCCTTCAGCGCCATACCCCCCCGCAGTGATTCCTTCTCCCTTAATCACTTCTCAGCAACATCTCCATATTCAGCCCCGGCAGCTCTGCTTCGGGCTAACAGCAGCGGTGCATCCACGCCGTTCACTCCGCTGCAGCGCTACAGCAGCATCAGACCCCAGCAGCAGCAGGAGCCGGAACTCCTGCAGCAGCAGCAACAGCAGCAACAGCAGCAGCAGCAGAGCTACGGAAAACCAAATACCTCTCAGAATTCTTTCATTGGCTACCCTTTGTCTCCAGGTGCCTCTGCGGGGACCCCAAGGCTGTCTGCGCTCAATGCAGATACACCGCGTAAGTTGAGCCTGAAGCTGAAGCCACCCGGGTTCGAACCCTGGCACATCAATCCACCACACAATCAATACTGCATCGGCAACAGCAGCAGCAGCAACAACAGTAACAGCAGCAACAGCAGGGGCTGCTTCGGTAGCTGTATGAAGGAAGGCGCACTTGGGTGTAGGCTGCTGCAGCAGGTGCTAGCCGCGGATGGTGCTTAACCTCTCACTGTCGATGCTGCTGCTGCTGCCCTTGCTACTGCTGCTGCCGCTTCTTCCTCTGCTGCTCTCTCCGTTGCTGCTGCTGCTGCCTTTGCCATTACTGCTTATTTTGTGTGCCGTAGGCCTTGGCGATGCGCAGACTGGTTTGAGTCGCTTCGAAAGTACATCTCCCACATCTCGCTCACCTCAGCAGCCGCAGCCACAGCAGCAGCAGCAACAGCAGCAGCAGCAACAGCAGCAGCCGCAGCAACAGCAGCAGCTGCAACAGCCGCAGCAACAGCAGCAGCAGCAACAGCCGCAGCAACAGCAGCAGCAGCAGTGGAGGCGAGTGCAGTCATCTGCGAGCTCCTTGTCTCCTCTGCAGACACATCACCGGCCCCCTGTAGGAACACCACGGTCTTCTCTCATGCAGCCGCACCTGAACGGTGCAGCAGCAGCAGCAGCAGGAGCAGCAACACCAGCAGGAACGCCACTGACAGCAACGACAGCAGCAGGGCAGGACGACAGCCCTGAGGACGGTGCGGTTACCGCGTCTTCCGCTCTTCGGCAAGCCGAACGTGCTGCTGCTGCAGCAGCAGATGCAGCGCAACGAGCTGCTGCTGCTGCAGACGCCGCTGGGCAATCCCCAGCAGCAAATGCCGCAAGATACAGGGCAGCTCGAGCTGCAGCAGCAGCACGCGCTGCCTTGATTGCTGCACAGAAACGTGCTGCTAGCATCAAGCCACCTCCCGCCATCCTTGCGTCACAGCAGCAACAGCAGCAGCAGCAGCAGCATTTGGTGAGGCAAAGTAACGGCGGCACCCCACAGCAGAGGCCCTCATCTCCCCTTTTCTCACGGCAGCAGAGCACCAGCAGCACTATAGGAGGCAAATCAACCATCCCCAGGCAAGCAGCAGCACCTTTTGTTTCTGGCCTTGGGGATGCAGCAGGTGCTGTTGCTGCTGCCCCAGATGCTGCTGCAGCAGGGACGGCAGCGCAGACGCCGCAGTCTCAGAGCCAGCGCAGTGCTGGGTCGTACTCAGTGCAACAGCAACACCAGCAGGATCTGCTCCAGCAGCAACGACAGCAGCTCCACCAACAGCAGCAGCAGCAGCAGGAGCAGTACGACGACGACAGCAACCGCCATGCTCCCTTGTCACCTGGAAGACTGCACCAGCCCAGTGAGCGTCCTTCCCTCTCAGCAGCAGCAGCAGCAGCCACCGCGCCCAGCCGAAACACATTTTATCCTATGATTTCTCATTCACTTGTTAATGGTGCAGCTTCTGCTGCTGTCCCAGGTGCTGCTGACAATGTGCAGCAACAGCAGCTGCTGCTGCAGCAGCAGCAGAATCGTGGGTCTTCCCAAGCCAACTTACACTCTAGCAGCACTGACGCAACTCCGAACGCACGCTGGTCTCACGTGGATGCGTTGCTTCAGCAGCAGCAACAGCAGCTGCAACAGCACCGGCAGCAGCTGCAGCAGCAGCAGGAAGAGGAGTTGCAGAAAGTACAGCAGCAACTGGGACGAGAGCAACGCCAGCAAGTGCTGCGGCAACTGGTGCAGCAGCACAAGCAGCGCGAGGCAGCGAAGAAAGCAGCTCAAGCAGAGCTGGAGAAAAATATAGAGAGGCAGAGACAAATATCAGCGTTTGCTGCTGCAGCCCTGCAACCTCCCCAACAAGAATCACCTGTATCGTTTCAAGGCCTAGGAAGTGGTGGCGTGGCTGCTGCTGCTGCTTCTGATGCTGCGGCTGCTACTCCTGCTGCTGCATTAACCTTCGAACTGGCTCAGCCAAAAAACGGCGCAGCCGCTGCTGCTGGCGACGCAGCTGCTGCTGAATACAGAGCAGCAGCTGCCAGCAGCAGCGGCAGCAACAGTAGCAGCACAGCTGCCCAGTTTATTGGAGATGCCCTTTATGGGGCAGCCCCTAAGGAGAGCTACACCTACGGAGCTGAGGAACAACTCCAGCAGCAGCAGCAGCAACAGCAGCAGCAGCAGCAACAGCAGCAGCAGCAGCAGCTGAAGCAGCAACGGAGCCTTGCAGGCTGGGCTGGTCCGGCGCCTTCGGTGTTTAACTGCGACAACATGGAGACACCTCAACACTCGGCGCTGCAGCAGCAAGAGGAGTGGCAGGCTGATGGGGCTTTTGCAGGTGTTGTGGGGGCATCACAGGGCCCTCAACAGGGGCTTTCTGATCAGGCTGCAGCAGCAGCAGCCGTTGCTGCTGCTGCTGCTGGTGGAGCAGCAGCAGCTGAACCGCCAACGATCGCAACGGACGATGACAGCAACAGAAGCTCCTTTTCGTTTGATGCGAAGCCCCGCAGAACGAAGAAACTGCAGCACAACTCTACATTAAATGGACATACCTCTGAAACAGCAGCAGCTACTGCCGGCAGCAGCATCATCAGCAGCAGCAGTAGCAGCAGCAAGAACACGCTCGGAATCCCGTCCTCACTGCGAGTGCCTCGCGTGCCCTTCACCTGGAAGACCTGCCGCTCGTTGCTGCTGCAGCTGCAGCAACCTGCAGAGAGTTTTTCTATAGACGGCGAGCTGTACAGACACTGGCAGCTGTCGCTCGTTCCTACTGTAGGGGCAGGTCAAAACAGTCAACGCCAGCAGGTCTCTCTAAACCCTAAACCCTGAATCTGAACCCTAACCCTAAACCTAAACCCTAAACCCTAAATTATGGGCCCTTGATCGGGACTCCGCTTCAGTGCCCTCTTGATTTGTCAGTGCTGTATATTTGTTTTTCTTGTGTGAGAGAAAGGAGCCTACGATGGCCTGTAGGGTTGTTTGGGGTGTACGTACAGCGCATGTACCGCGGTAGATTGAAGTCAGGGCGAGGAGTATTTGTTAAACAAGTGCCGGCGAGTGTCTGGAGATATCAGTGGAAGCAGCAGCAAAGATTTCAGGGACAGTTCATATGCGATGGAGAGAATTATGTGGGGGAGGCCGCTGCTGCTGCCTTTCTTACAGGTGCATCAGCAAAAGCCCTTAACCCTATACCCTAAACCCTAAGTTTGAAGGATATCCTTAGCATCTTGCAAATTCTGTTTGCCTTTCGTCTATCTTTGTTCTGCTGGGGAGGTGGAGTAGGCTGTAGGTCTGCTTGAGTCTCTCTCTGTCTCCGACTGTGTTGCTGTTTTTTGTTGTTTGTTTGTTTGTTTGTTTGCTTGTCTTAGAATACCATCCACACTGCGTAGCACCCCTACTGGCTGTGCTGACAGAAGGCAGCGCCATCAACGACAGTGGAGAGGCTCAGCAGCAGCAAGTTCAGGAGACGCCCGGGGCCTCTGAGAGTCCCCTCAGCAGTTTTGCCCGTGCTGCACAGCAGCAGCAGCAGCAGCAGCAGCAAGGCAGCAGGAGCAGCAGCAGAAGGCACCGCACCGAGCGCGTCATCCTCGTTTTTCAATTGTTCGGTCAGTCGGATCTCCTGGACTTCGTCGAGGCCAACAAACCTGTAGGTCTTTGTTCTCTGTTGAATAAACCCTAAACCCTAGACCCTAAACCCTTTTCTGTTGCCTCCTTTGCAGCTTTTCATTGGTGTGCATTCATCAATACGCGCATTCTTCTCAGGTCTGTGTGCATGCAGAGGTGTATGTTTATGTTTATACATATACATATGTATGTATATAAATATATATATATATATATATATATATATATACAGGTGAGCATTGCCCTCTCCGTTTCTGTATGTATTTTGGTTTGGTTGTTTTTGCTGCCTGTCGATTTCTATCTCGCTCTATTGTACTTTAATTGTCTCTCATTGTGTCTTGTGTCTTCTCTCTGGTGTCTGCATCTCTCTGTCTTTGTGTCTTTGTGCATTCACGTGTCTGGGTGTTGCTGCTGTGTGTATTTGCCTCACTCTCTTTATGTCTTTGTACGTTTTTCTCGTTGTGTCAGTGCGTCTTTGCTGCCTCTGTATGTTTGTGTGTCTCTGCCTCCGTAGTGGTGTTTCTGTGTCTTTGAATATTTACGTCTCCGTGCCTGTCTCCCTGTCTCTGTTTTCGTGTCTACGCTTCTCTGTCTCTTTGTGCATTTGTGTGTCTCTGTCTTTGTCTCTGTCTTTGTGTCTTTGTGTCTTTTATAATGGTCTCTCTCTCTCTCTGTATCATGGCGTCTCTCTCAGTGCTTCTATGTGTCTTTCTTCCTGTCTTTGCGTCTCTGTATATTTGTGTGGTGCTGTCCTTTTTTCTTTGTTTTTGTCTTCGTCTCTGTGTATTTGTGTCTTTGCATATTTGTGTCTCTCTCTGTGTCTTCATGTCTCGTGTCTCCATGTCTTTATGTCTTCATGTCTTTGTGTCTTTGTACAGCAACCCCACAAGCTGTGTGTTTATGTAACGCGTCATTTCTTAATGCTTGCAACGGCTGTCTATTCACAAAGGCTCCTTTATAGACACCTGAATTGGTACCTGGGGTGTACATGCAACTCAGTGCATGCATGTCAGTGCATGCATGCCAGTGCACGCCTCCATTAATTTCTGTGCATGCGGGGGCATTTGCAAGGGCGGCCCCCAAACCAGGAGGAGGAGTAGGTGCAGCAGCAGCAGCAGAAGCAGCAGCAGGTGCCGAGGAAGCTGAAGAGGTGGCTTCCTTGATAAGCTGCGAGTGTATACAGTTGAAAGGGGTCCTAGAGGGTCACTAGGTGTCTGTACACCTTGTGGCGGCTGCGCCGTGTGCGGTGTCTCTGCAGATGCCTCCTGCGTTCAAGAGGAAGCTGCAGTTATCACTCGCGCTGCTGCTGCATTCGCTGCACTCTGCTGGCCTCGCGCACCTCGACTTTACGCCCGAGAACATCCTTGTGCATTCATTGCTGCTCGGTTGCGTTGATAACTACACAACCTCCAGCAGCAGCAGCAGCAGCAGCAACAACAACAAGGGGGCTTCTGAGGGGTTCCCGCTGCAGCTGCGGGCCTGCGACTTTGCAAAAGCTACGCCTCTCTTTAACTGGTCAAATCTGCGTCTGCCTGCGTCTCTGTTGGCTCGGTATCATCGCCGTAGCAGCCTGGCGAGCTGCAGCAGCCAGGCAGCAGCAGCAGCAGCAGCAACAGCACCTGCTGCTGCTGCTGCAGCAGATGCAGAAGAACCTGAGGAGCTACCGCCCTTCATAAGCTGCGAGCCTACTATTGCAAAGGGGCCCTACATGCCTCCAGAGACCTGGAAAGTGCTGCGCATCCTTCGATCGTTAGGTTCGGCAACAGCCTTTATCTCTTTGTCTTTGTGTCTTTGTGTCTGTATATTTGTTTGTCTCTGTCGCCGTCTCTCTGTGTCTTTCTGCGGCTATGTCTTTGTATATTTGCGTGTCTTTGTGTCTCTCTTTCTGTGTCTGTAGCTCTTTGCCTTCGTGTCTTCGTGCCTTGCCCCAGTCGGCTCTTGAGTACACAACGAGCAGCAGCAGCACGATATGCTGCTGCTGCTGCTGCTGCAGCATAAGCACCTCGCAAAAGCAGCAGATACACACGCGGCTAAGGCTCAAGGAGCAAGAAGCAGCAGCACGAGCACCCAGAGCTGCTGAGGCTTGGCTGGCGTGTCTGTTGTTGTTGCTGCTGTTGCTGCTGTTGCTATCGTTGCTGCTGCTGCAATGCGTGCTGAAGTTCGTTGTCCTGCAGTTCAGTTGCGAGTAGGAAAGTGGCGCACTTGCTGCTGCTTAACAGCAAAGAGGGTTCGTTGCTGTTTGCTGCGGTGTATAGGCATCACCTTTCCCTTTGTGCAGATATGCGAGCCCCTGCTGTTGACTGGTCGGCCGCCTCCGCCGCTGCAGCTGCGGGAAGGAGACAGTGCAGCAGCAGCAGCACGCAACAATGCAGCAGCAGCAGCAGCAGCACGCAACAGTGCAGCAGCAGCAAGGCGAGGGGGTGTCGACTTGTCGCTTGTCTTCTTTGATGTTCGCAAAGCAGATATATATATGCTGGGAGTTCTTCTCTTCTACTCCTGGGCAGACGGAGCTGTATGGACAGCTTCAGACCCGCAGCAAGACGATCAGTGAGATGCTACCCAATTGACACCTACAACAAAGCCCCGCTGCAGCAGCAGCAGCAGCCCACGAAGCAGGGGCAGCGGCCCCCCACGCAGCAGCAGCACCAGCAGCAGCACCCCACGCAGCAGGGGCAGCAGCACCCCACGCAGTGGCAGCAGCAGCAGCAGCCCACGAAGCAGCAGTAGCCCACGCAGCAGCAGCAGCCCACGCAGCAGCAGCAGCAGCACGGGGTGCAGCAACAGCAGCAGGCCATGATGCAGCAACGGTGGACGACGTCCAGTCTGCAGCAACAGCAGCCCACGAAGCAGCAGCAACGGCAGGAACCAAGGGTGCAGCAAAGAAGGGCGTGCAGCAACTGCTGCAGGGAACTGACTGCAGCAACAGCAGCAGCCCTCGCTGCACCATCAAAAGCAGTCTTTGACGAAGAAAACAAGTGGCTGCAACAGCTGCTGCAGCAACTGCAGCAGCAAATGCCTGCTGCATTAGGGGCAGCAGCCCGATGTGCAACAAGCAGCTAGCATCCCCTGCTGCAGCAAGAAGCCAGCAGCAAGAGCAGCATGTGGTATATCTGAGTTGTTGGCTGTTGTTTGTGCTGCTGCAGATTTGCTAATCTCGTCGAGGAGGCATTCAACTTCTCGGTTTTCTCAGAATGCAGGGACTGGCCGCCACCGCTGCTGGATCTGATTCGGGTTGGTTTTTACTGCAAGAAGAGCAGCAGCTTTAATGCTAGGGGATGTGTAGCAGCGGTGGCAGCAAGCGCGACTGCTTCAGCAATTATGCGCGCACCACTGCTGCCTCCTGTATATGCAGCAGCAACGGATGCAGCAATTGTGCATGCAGCGGCAATATATGCTGCACAGGACGCGCTAGCCAGAATCAGCAACAGAAACAGCAGCAGCAGCAGCACGAGCAGCAGCTCAGCTCTGTTAGCTTGGCGTGCCTCATACTTCAAATGAATATGAGCTGCGTTTGCTGCTGCATGCAGGGATGCATACAAGAAGACCCCGAGAAGCGACTGGTGCTCGATCAGGTGCTGCGGCACCCGTGGTGGGATGCTGCTCTGGACGTCTGAGTGGCTCAAGCGCACACAAGCTCAACTCAGCATCAGCAGCAGCAGCAGCAGCAGCAGCAGCAACTGCACGGCCGCTGCACTGCAGCGCAGCGGGAGCTTGTATAGGTAGTGCGCAGCTGCGAGCTTGTAGCAGAAGCTCTGAGCTTCCCGCTTGCTGCTGCCTGTCTACTTGACACGGGCTTCTGCCCGCACAACACACTGCAGCAAATTCAACTTTAGGCTAGTGCTGCCTTCCAAACCCTAAACCCTAAGCCCTAAACCCTGAACCGTATGCACAAAATCACAATCTAGGGCCAGAAGGACACAAAGAGGAAGCAATCAGGCACAACGGAGCAGAGGAAGGGATGCAAGAGGGAGGAGGAGTTGCTGCTGGTGTAACAGCATCTCGTGCTGCAGCAACTTGGCTGCCAGCCTCAGCCAGGTGTATGCATTCTGTGATTGTTTCGGCGCTAAATATTTGTTTATTCAGAGACAACTGGTGTCCACTACAGGCGCAAAAGTTTCTTAATAATATTAATAACAATAAAAAATAATAATAGAAATAGCATCATACACTTGCATGCTCAGGGATATCAACAATCGCCTTCACTATCGATGATGCCAGCTATATCCGCACACACCGACGGCCGAGTCGCTTGCAAATAGGCAGAGGACTCTACGAATAAAAAAATAAATAAAAACAATAAACAAATTATAGGAAGAAGAAATACTGAGGAAAAGAAATGCATTTGTATAGCTAGCATCAGCGAACATAGACAGTCATACGGTAGGTGTGGGGCGGCCCCACGCGCATGAATGCAACTCGCACATAAAAAACCAAAGATATTATTTAAAAATAAATAGAAATAAAAGTTTAGTTCAAATTATATATAATAAATATGCACAATTTCTGAGAAAGTGCTCGCAGATCCGCGCCGCTAACACTCCACACGGCGAAAGGTGACCCTGCAGCAGCAGCAGCAGCAGCAGCTGCTGCTGCTGCTGCTGCTGCTGCTGCCTCCCTCCCGCCTATAAGGAGTGCTGGGGGTTGTTCTGGTCTTTCCACTGTCACCACTTAATTCAGAATTAAGAAATTCGATTGAAATTTGCATACATTTTTCTTTTTGTCTGTCTTCTTTTTCGCTAACGCACCCTATACAAACAAACCACAAACACACCATTGGACAGCCCAGGTGACCCTGCAGTAATTCTATTGGCGATTGTTATAGAAACATTATTTGTATTTGTATTGGCTGACGCATTAATATTAATATTAATTGTAATATTAATATTAATATTTATATTTATTTTCTTCTGTCTTTTTTTTCTCTTATTAACGAAGATGTTCCTCAGGAGAGCCTCTAAGCTGTTTGTTGTGCTCAGCGGCCTCTCCCTCGAGCAGGTCTCAGCAGCAGCAGCAGCAGCAGCAGCAAGTGAAGTCAATACTACCGACGCTGCAGCAGTAAGTTCAGGGAATACTGCGGCAGCAGAATCTTCAGAGGCTGCAACAAATGACTATAAACACCCTGTACACCCCAATGAAGGCAACGCGCCTGTGCCGCCCCCTCTAAAGAACGCCATCTCAACAGCTGGTGCTGAGTTTCCTCTAGGCCAGGTGCTAGGTTCTGCTGCTGCTGCAGCTGCTATTGCTGCTGCTGCTGCTGCTGCCGCTGCTGCTGCTACCCCACCCGAAGCAGTAGATGGCCCACCCGATCCGGCGCTTGCTGAGGAACCCACGTCTGCTGCAGCAGCAGCAGCAAATGCTGCACCTCCGATAGACGCATCAACAGAAGACAACAGCACATTTAATACGAGTCTCTACTTGCCTGCACAAAGGCAGGAGGAGCTGCAGCGGCGGAGGCGGCAGTGGATGCCGCAGCGTGAGCAGCAAGACGTGCTGCTGCAGCAGCTGCTGCAGTATTCTGTTGCACAGGTATGGGATGTCTTCAGGTCAGCCCGCGCTAATGCTCTTAGAGAACCCGCTTCATCATATTTCCTAGCCAGAGAGCAGCAGCAGCAGCAGCAACAGCAAGAGGAGGAGCAGCAAGAGGAGCAACAGCAGCAGCAGCAGCAAGAACAGGAGCAACAGGAGAAGCAGCAACAGCAAGAGCAGCAGCAAGAGTTGGATTTGAAGGAGCACCAGCAAGAATTGGAGGAGGAGGAGGAAGAGGAGGAGGAGGAAGAGGGGGAGCAGCAGCAGCAGCAGCAGCAGCAGCAGAAAAAAGCCGAGTAGCAGTAGCTCCACGTGTTAAGTGAGGCAACAGGCAGCAACGTGCAGCCAGGAGGTGTACATGCAGCTTGGTGTTTATTATTATTTTGTTTATTGGCGTTTATTATTATTCTTTTGTCTCTTATAAACAGATATTTATATGCAGCAAAGACACAAAAAGTCTCTTTCCCTGTAGACAAAGCCTCATGAGAGGCTTCGACTTGGCGCTCAACGCAAACCATCTTCTATTATATTGGCCACTTCAAGCAACAACAACTGCTGCTGCTGCTGCTGCTGCGATTGCTGCTGCTGCTGCTGCTGCGTTTGCTGTTGCTGCTGCTAGTAGTACTGCTGCTGCTGGTGGCGCTGCTCTACGTGCTCTGGTGCTGCTTCTAAAACCCGAAGTAGCAACCCACGGAAGCTGTTGCACCGCGACAGGGTTCTTAAGCTGCAGCTGCAGCTTCAGCAGTTGGTGCTGCTGCTGCTGCTAATAGTACTGCTGCTATTACGCACCGATCCTGCTGTAGTTTCTTCGCCAGCTGCTGGAGCCAGTAAAGAGTGCTCTAGCTAACAGCAGCAGCAGCAGCAGAAGCAGCGTCTGCAGCAGTATCCCAGAGGCATACGAGAGCTATACTGGAGTAGCTGGTGTACGTACACCTAAAGTGTACATACATTTTCGGTGTACGTACATCTGAGGTGTATATGCAGCTGAGGTGCATGTGCAGTTGAGATGCATATACAGATGAGATGCATATACAATTGAGGTGTACATACACCTCAAAATTTGTCTTTGCGCTTCCTCCCGGAGTACTTCGACTCGGGGCGGACTTTCTTGCCCTATGAACAAACAAAAATAAAAAGAATAAGCAATGAAACCACTGCGGCAGCAGCACAATCAGCAGCAGCAGCAGCAGCTTCTGTCAGCAGCAGGGTATACAACAGCATAAGCAGCAAGGTCCGCTGCAACAGCAGCAACAGGACCTGCAGCAATACCCCCAGCAGGATATGTAGTAGCAGCAGCAGACGTAAGGTCGAAGGCAGCAGCAGCAGCAGCAGCAGCAGCAGATCGGTACCTTTTTGATTTGCTGCTCTTTCTTTCTCTGAATAAATTCCTTCTTCGATATTTGCTTCTTCACACGACGTGCAGACACCATCGGCCGCCTGAGATAACAAAAACCCTAAACCCTAAACCCTACGCGGTAAAACCCTAAACCCTAAACCCCAAAACCATAAAACCTAAACTCTTTGTGCACCAATTCCAAACGGCAATGCACTGACAAGACCTTCATCCCTAAACCCTCACTCCAGCATCGTCAATCCTAAGTACTAAACCCTAAACCCTAAACCCTAAACCCTAAACCCTAAATCTCACTCTCTTCCAGCATTAATGATCGCAGACGTTCCAAGGGCCTTCGGTAGCTGCTGCGTCCTTCTGCTGTTGCCTCCCGGAAGCCACAGACACATAAAGTACCTGCACATACACCCCAGCAGCAGCAGCAGCAGCAGCAGTAGCAGCAGCAACAGCAGCAACAGCAGTACAGCGCGATGACTTGACTAGACCTTCTGCTGCAGCTTTCTCAAGCGCATGCAGCGGAATATCTTTATTAAAAAGCAAACTCAAAGTAAACCAAAAAACTTAGAACGAAGATAAGAAAATAAACAAAGACAAAATAAACAGAGAGACGAACACCGGCAAAGAAGATACAAATCGATGGCGCATGCACAGCACAGTAAGCAGCAGCAACAGCAGCAGCAGCTGCTGCTGCAGCAGTAAAAATCCAGACGCAATAAGCGAACCAACACCCAGCAACCCACAATCACCAAATACGCAGCAGCAACAGCAACAGCAAAAAGAACTACAGTAGCAGCAACAGCAGCAGCAACAAGAACAACAACAACAACAACAGTAGCACTAGCAGCAACAAGAGCAACAACGACAGCAGCAGCAGCAGCAGCAGCAGCAGCAGCAGCAGCAGACTTTTTGGCCTTAGTAGAGTTGGGGTAGTCCACCACGAGGCCGCCTTCGAAGCCGCTGCGCAGAGCAGCTGAAGTCAAACTCTCTAGCTGCTCCGCACTCTCAGGATAAAACTGCAGCGCCTGCAGCAGCAGCAGCAGCAGCAGCAGCAACAGTAGCAGCAGCAACAGCAGCAGCAACAGCTCCGTTTTGGGGGGGAGGGTGTTTGCCTCGGCGTTAAGAATGTTCAATGTAGCAAAGAAGAAGAATGCATGCATGCGGTGTATATGCACTGCACTGTTGCACGCACGCAGTGAGGTGTACGTACACCCCATGCATGCAATGCTTTGGGGCTCTCTCTGATGCATGCATATCCCTTTCTACGCTGCCGAGAATAACTCCTCCTGCTGTTAGTGCTGCTGCTGGTGTTCGTGCTGCTGCTGGTGTTCGTGCTGCTGCTGCTACTGCTGCTGCTGTTGCTGCTGTTCGTGTGTAGTGTACGTACAGCTCGCGCTCCGGGCTTTAGAGACCGTGCAAGATGTTGAAAGAAACAACTCTGTCTCCTGTATGCTGTGGCTGGGAGAGCAGGTTTTCGCTGCTGCCGCAGCAGCAACTGCTGCTGCTGCTGCTGCTCGCTGTCGGAGTGCCTGTCCTCGTCCATATCTTCTTCTGAGGTGTTAGAGTCTCCCGAAGAAGCTTCTGCTGCTGTTGCTGCTGCTGTTGCACCTGCTGCTGAGCAGCAATCAGACTTAATATCTGAGCAGAGCCACTGAATAGCACTAATAGAGATTGCCCCGTCAAAGGCGCCGGGGCGGAAGTAAAAAGCTAAAAAAAAGCAAAAAAAGAGACAAAGAGGAGACAGCAAACGCAGATGCATGCGATCGTGCAGAACCCCCAAACAGCGCTTCCTATATAAGGCACTAGGGTTTAAGGGTAAGGGTTTAGGGCCGCAGAGTGAGGGTTTAGGGGGTAGGCGCAAGGGTTTAGGGTTTAGGGCTTAGGGTTTAGGGTTTACGTTTGCCGAAGTCTGCAAGGAGCGCATCAGCCATCTCCAAGTTGTTCTGATCGCGGGCCTCCTCTGCAGGCAGCAGCAATTAAACATCTACTTGTTTGTCTCTGTCTCTCTCTTTATATATGTCTCTGTCTCTCTCTTTGTCTCTGTTTCTGTCTCTTTCTTTGTCTCTGTCTCTGTTTCTTTCTTTATATCTGTGTCTGTCTCCCTCTTTGTCTCTGTCTCTGTTTGTTTCTTTGTCTCTATCTCTGTCTCTCTCTTTATATGTGTCTCTGCCTCTATGTCTCTGTCTCTCTCTTTATATCTGTCTCTCTCTTTATATCTGTCTGCTTGATCTGTCTCGGTGTCTCTTTGTTTGTCTCTCTATTCCCTATTCTTATCTTTTCTGTCTTTGTTTGTCTGTCTGTCTCTTTTAATTTGTGTTGATGTTTGTCTTTGTCTTTGTTTGTCTTTGTCTCTGTTTGTCTTTCTGTCTCCTTCTCTGCTTCTTTGTTCGTCTGTCTCCCTCTCTGTCTATTTACATCTACTCTCTGTCTCTCAATGAAATCAATTATACACACAAACACCATCAGCAACTGCAGCAGCAACTGCAGCAGCAACTGCAGCAGCAGCAGCAACTGCAGCAGCAGGACCAGCAGCAACAGAAGAAGAACCAGCAGAAGCAACCGCAGCACCAGCAGCAAATGCAGAAGCAGCAGCAGAAAAAGCAGAAGCAGGATAAGCAGCAGGTACAGCAACGGCAGCAGCAGCAAAAGCAGCAGCAAAAGCAGCAGTAGCAGCAGTAGCAGCAGCAGCAGCAGCAGCAGCAGGTACCTAGCATGTGTTTAGAGATATCGAGGCCGACAACGAAGTGTCCCTTCTCAGAAACCGCAGCGCCGCTCATTCCGCAGCCAAACCCCAAATCCAGTACAAGGCAACTCTGTAGCAGCAGCAGCAGCAGCAGCAGCAGCAGCAAAAGCAGCAGCAGCAGCAGCAGTTCAATACCAATGCAGGGGAAAGCAGTAGTCGCCACGTCTGGCGGCATTGCAGCGGCAGCAGCAGCAAACGTAGCATAATGCTGGATCAGCAACACAAACAGCAGCAGCAGCAACAACACAAAGAACAGCAGCAGCACGAAAAGCAAGGGGAAGATCAGCACAGACAGCAGCAACAACAAGGAGAAGCGCAGCAGTAGCACCACCACCAGGTGCAGCAGCAAAGAGGCGAACACCAGCAGCAGCAGCAGCAGCAGCAGGTGCAGCAGCAACAAGGCGAACAGCAGCAGCACCACCACCACCACCAGGTGCAGCAGCAAAGAGGCGAACACCAGCAGCAGCAGCAGCAGCAGCAGGTGCAGCAGCAACAAGGCGAACAGCAGCAGCAGGTGCAGCAGCAGCAGGTGCAGCAGCAGCAGGTGCAGCAGCAGCAGGAGGCGGACTTGGTTTTCTGGTAGCAGCAGCATTTCTAAAGCTCTTTCGGTCATTTGTCTTTGAATTAATTGCATGCGGCTGCTGCGCGCATATCGCTGCGTCTCCTCTTCGCCGTAATACTGAAAGAAGAAGGGACAATTATAATATTATATTTTAATTATTGTTTGTTTTATAATCATAATATTATATTTTATTTGTTGATATTATAATGATATTAACAAAGATATTAATGAAGATATATATAAAGATATTAATGAAGATATTAATAAGGATATTGATAAAGATATTAATAAAGATATTAATAAAGACATATAAATACAAATAAAGATACGTACAAAGATAATAATAAAATATCAGTAAAGATATATATATATATATATATACCTTTACTGATATGTATGTATGTATACATATATATATATAAAGCTATTAGTAGAGTTATTAATAAAGATATTTATAAAAAGGTTTATAAACAGATATTAATAAAGATATTGATGCAGATATTAATGAATATATATTTATAAACAAACAAAACACATAATAAAACTAAACAAAGATAGCAATCAAAGAAATAATAAAAATAAAAACAAACAGAGAGAGACGCAAAAACAAACAAATAAAATCATCACCGATTTCACACGAAGAGATTAATACAGACAGAGGGAGAAGTAAATAAATAAATAAATAAAATAAATAAATAAATAAAACAAGGAGGTAGACAAACAAAACAAATAAAACAAACAAACAAACAAGACAAAACAAAACAAAAAGATAAAACAACTAAAACGAACAAACAAAACAAATAAATAAAATAAAACAAACAAACAAAACAAACAAACAAAACAAATAAAACAAATAATAAACACTCAAAGCTTTTTTGTTGCTTACGACATCGGCGGGGAGGAGATGCTCCGGCCTGCTCATTGCTGCAGCAAATCTTCAACAGCAGCAGCAGCAACTGCAGCAGCAGCAGGAACAGCAGAAGCAGCACCAGAAACTGCAGCAGCAGCAGCAACTGAAGCAGCACAACCAATTGCAGCAGACGGCAACTGCAGCTGCAGCAGCAACTCCAGCAGCAACTCCAACTGAAGTACTAACAGCAACAGCAACTGCAGCATCAACACCAGCTGCAGCAGCAGCAACAGCAGCTGCAGCAGCAGAAACAGCAACAGCAGCTGCATCAGCAGCAACAGCAACTGCAGCAACAGCAACCGCAGCAGCAGCAGCAGCAACAGCAACAGCAGCTGCAGCAGCAGCAACAGCAGTTTGCTTCGCTCTTATCTCCTCTCCCTTCTTCGTTTGTGTTGGGCGGCGGAGATAGACTCACCTGTTTGTTTGTTTGTTTGTTTGTTTGTTTGTTTGTTTGTTTGTTTGTTTGTTTGTATATTATATTTATTTATTTATTTATTAGTACTTCTCTCTGCCTCCCTGGGCCTCCTCTCTTCCTCTTGAAAAACAAAACAAAAACCCAGACCCTAATTATTTAGTTTAGGGTTTAGGGTTTAGGGTTTAGGGTTTAGGGGGCCTCCAGAGGGAGGGCCCCGAGGTAGTTGCAGAAGCAGCAGCAATAGCAGCAGCAGCAGGAGGCTTCTGCGTGAGCCCTGCAGCACTATAACAGCAAAGAATATTCAAATTATCTCAACAGCAGCAGCAGCAGCAGCATTAGCAGCAGCAGCAGCAACAACAGCAGCAGCAAGCCTTCCTGTGGGGCCCTCGTCCCCACGAGGACAGCCGACGGGGGCCCCGGGGCCCCTCATGCTATTTCGCTGCTTTCTTAGCTCTTTATTTTATTTAAAAGATAATCAATTTATTATTTTAATTGTTTTTTTGCTGCTCTCTTCTATTCAGCACTCTGGGGGGCCCCTACACTCTGCTGCTTCCCTCAGACCAGGGGCCCCCCCATTGCCTTGGGGGCCCCCCTCCATCTTCTGTACCCTCGGGGGCCCCCGGGGGCCCCACCCCCGACCTTCAGTACCCTCAGGGGCCCCAGGGGCCCTCAGGGGCCCCCAGCGACCTTCAGTACCCTCGGGGGCCCCCGGGGGCCCCCCTCCATCTTCTGTACCCTGGGGGGCCCCCGGGGGCCCCCAAGGGTACTGAGGATAACTTTAGTCAACTGTGTAGAAGAATACTAAGATAAGTAAGGGAAGCAGTGCAGCAGCAGAAGCTGCTGCTGCAACACCTGCAGCAGCTAGAGCAGCTGCAGCAGTTACAGTGGCGTAGCTGCTGCAGCACCAATATAAGTAGCAGCAACAGCTGCGGTATCAATAGCAGCAGTAGCTGCTGCTTTAACAGCTACAGCAGTAACGGCTGCAGCAGCAACAGCAGTTCGCAGATTGCACCAGCTGCAGCAGCTGCAGCAGCAACAGCAGCTGCAGCAGCAACAGCAGTTCGCAGCTTCTGCTGCTGCAGCTGAGGAGGCATTAACAACAGTGAGAAGGGCTGCTGCTCCCCCTCTCTGTCTCTGTCCAGCAGGGGACTTCCGGCTGCTGCTGCTGCGTTTGCTGCTTCTTCTGCCCCTTACCAGGGTTAGTATGTACTAGCTGCCGTAAACGTGAGCTGCTGCCGCTGCTGCTGCTGCTGCTGCTTTGATAAGATGCAGCGCCTTAGAGAAGGAATTTGCCGTGTGGCAGCAACCCCTGCAGCAGCAGCAGAAACAGCAGCAACAACAACAACAGCACCCCCTGTTATTTGGGGTGCGGCTTTGCTTGGCCGTGCCCACTTCCACCGTGTTGCTGCACCAGAAACAGCAGCAGCAGCAGCAGCAGCAGCTGCTGCTGCTGCTGCTCTACCACACAGCAGCGCAACCACGGGCGAAGTTGTCTCTGACAGCAGCAGCACCGGTGCAGCAACAGCAGCAGCATCCGCAGCACCATCAGCAGCAGCACCAACAGCAGCAGTAGCAGCAGCACCAATAGCAGCAACAACGACAGTAGCAACAGCAGCAGCAACAGGTGCAGCTGCTTCTTCTGTTGTAATGCTGCCTTTATTTCATGAGCTTAGACTGCAGCCGCGTCTGCCGCGTGTTTCTGAGAACGGGCCAGCAGCAGCAGCAGCAGCAGCAGCAGCAGCAGCGTCAGCAGCAGAGAGGCATCAGCTGCAGCGGTGGTGGAAGGCTGCCCCCTTTATTATGAGCAGGCAGCAGCTGGAGATCAGCGGCAGCGGCTGCAGTGCTGCTGCTTCGCTACAGCAGCAAACTCAGCAGCAGCAGTTCTTCCAGGTGCAGCGACAGCAGCAGCGGCTGCTGCTGCCGCAGGAAGGGGTGCAGCAGGGACAGCAGCAGGAACGGTCAGAGGATGGGGGTGAGAGCAGCAGCAGCAGCAGCAGCAGCAGCAGCAGCAGCAGTAACAGCAGCAGCAGTATTTCACCCCACTGCACGCGAATTTTACAGCGACACCGGGGAGCTGCAGCAGCAGCAGCAGGAGACAGACCAGCAGGCACAGCAACAGCAGAAGCAGCAGCAGAAACAGCAGCACAAGCAGAAGCAGCAGCAGCAGCAGCATCTCGCCACCTGCTGCGCTCTGCTGCAGCAGCTCTTGTCGCCTCCCCTGTTGGGGAGATGACTGCGCAGCAGCTCGTTGCTCTCGGCTATTTCCTTGTAAGCAGCAGCAGCAAAAGCAGCAGCAGCAGCAAAAGCAGCAGCAGCAGCAGCAGCAGTATCAGAGAACAGCAAGATCTGATTTTGTGCCGCCACATGCTTCTGCGCCTGCTCGTGTTGCTGCGGGAGCACAACAGAAGCGTGCAGCAGCAACAGCAACAGCAGCAGCAGCAGCAGCAGCAATGGGAGCAGCAGCAGCAGCAGCAGCAGCAAGGGGTGATCAATGCTCAGCAGCTCACGCAGATATTAAAGAGCCTCGCGAGGCTCCGCACCTTCCATCGTCTGCTGCACTCCCCCTGGTGGCTGCCGACTGCAGCAGCACCTGCTGCTACTGCTGCATCTGCTGCGCCTACTGCTGCTGCTGCTGATGCTGCTGCCGTTACCCCTCCGTCTGCTGCTGCTGCGCCCTATGCTCCTGGGCCTTCTGCTGCTGCTGCTGCTGCTGCTGAGGCACCGGAAGGAGAGAGCAGCAGCACAGACACCGCAGTGTTCAGTGCAGCAGGGGCTGTCTTTCCCCCGGCGTTCTACCGCCTGCTTGAGAAAGATAGCAGCAGCAGCAGCAGCAGCAGCACGCAGGCAGATGGTTTGCCTACTAGAGAACAGCAGCAGCAGCAGCAGCAGCAAAGCACTCGGTGGCACTTGGCGCTGCTAGGAGCTGACGCTTGCACATTAGCGCAACAGCAGCAGCAGCAGCAGCAGCCGCAGAGGATTCTGCAGCAGGGAAGGCAGGAGCAGCAGCAGGTAAAGGAGACTGGTGCTGCTGCTGCTGTTGCTGCTGCGGCTTGTGTCACCCCAATAGCTTTGTCGTTGGCCCTGGAGCTGTCTCTCATATTTAGTAGGGACTTGCGCTGCATTCTACGGCAAGAGCAGCAGCAGCTGCAGCAAGACCAGCAGCAGCAGCAGCAGCAGCAGCAGCAGCAAAAGCAACAGCAGCAGCAAATTAGGAGGTTCAAAGTTACTTTTATTCAGCCTGAGGAAATGGCCCGCGCTGCACTCCACTGCGCCGTCCTCTTCTCACCTTGGACGCGCAGCAGCAGCAGCAGCAGCAGCAGCAGCAGCAACAGCAGCAGCACCGGTACCGCAACCCGCAACAGCAGAAGCAGCAATAGGAACGGGGACACCATCCCCAGCAGCAGCAGCAACAGCAACAGCAACAGCAACAGCAGCAGCAGGTATTCTCCATCTGCTGCATCGTTTGAGGAGGCACGAAGTGCTGCGCTGCTGCTGCAGTCCGTGTGCAGCCATTTGCTGCTGCGCCTGCAGCCTCTCTTTAACTCCAAGTTCGTCAGAGGTTTTATGCTATTTTTCTGCTTCCTCTTCTTGCTGCTGCTGCTGCTGCTCTATTTTATTTTATTTTATTTATTTTATTTATTTTTTTGTTTTATACATATAATTGTTTTAGTGCTGTTATTATTTTTTTGTTGGTGTTATTATCTCCATGTTGCGGTGGGGGGCGCATGCAAACAACAGATAAGATCTGCTGCTGCTGCTGTTGCTGCTGCTGCTGTTGCTGCTGCTGCTGCTGTTGCTGCTGCTGCTGTTTGTAGGAGTGCGGCGCTTGCTGCTACAGCGTTGGGATATGCAGAGGTCCCTCCTCCTTCTTGCGTTCTGGTAGGCCTCAGATATACACTCATTGCTGCTGCTGCACCTGCTGCTGCTGCTGCTTCTGCTGCTGCACCTGGAGGTCGTGCCCCCTGTGTTGTTTGTTTGCTTCTTTTTTTCATGTTTGTTTGTTTATTTGTTTGTTTGTTCGTTTCCGGGTTTGTTGCTGCTGCTTTGCTGCTGCTCTGTGCTGCTGCTCCTTTGCTGCGGCTCCCTTGCTGCTGCGCTCGCGCTGCTGCTGTTGTTGCTGCTGCTGTTTCGCTGCTGCTGCTTTGGTGCTGGTGTTGTGCAGTTGCTCCTCTTCCTGCTGCTCTCTGATTGCTGCCATTGGATTTGCTGCTCTTAGTTTGCTGTTGGCCTTCTGCTGGTGCTGCAGTGCTGCTGCTGCACTTGCTGCTGCTGATGCTGGTGTATTTGCGGCTCTTGCGCTTGCTGCTGCTTTTGCTGCTGCAGGAAGCATTTGCTGCAGGTCTCTGCTGCAGTGCTCGCCGTCAGGTGTATCCGCTGCTGCCTTCTCACTTGCAAAATATTTTATTTTATCTCTCTAGGCGAAATATAAAGCATAAACAATTGCTGCTGGCGCTTGCAGACACAGTCAGCTGCTGCTGCACTTGCTGATGCTGCTGTTGCTGCTGCATTTGCTGATGCCGCTGCTAATGTTGCTGCTGCACTTGTTGCTGTTCGCGCGGTTGTTGCTACCGTATTTGCTACTCCAGCTGCACTTGCTGCTGCTGCGCGTGCTGCTGTTGTTGCTGCTGTTGCTGTTGTTGCTCTTGCTGCACTTGCTGCCGCTGCTGCTGCTGAGCCCGTTGCCTCTGCTGAAACTGCTGCAGTTTCTGCTGCTGCTGTTGCTGCTGCATCTCCTATCGTTTTTCCTGCAACCCGCGCTGTGCCGTGCCCTTCTTATCTCTTTGTTGCTATTGCTGCTGTTGTTGTTGCTGCTGCTGCTGCAGGTTGCGGTAAAAGCTGAAGGCTGCGATTTAAAGACTACGCTGTCTTTGCTCTCCTCGTCAGACATCCCCTTCTGCTGCTGTTGCTGCTGCTGTTGCTGCTGCTGCTGCAAGTGTTGCTACTGCTGCTGGTGCTGCGGCTGTTGCTGGTAGAGCCCTGTTGTTGCCGCTGCAGCACTTCTTGCTGCTGCATCCCTGGTTGCTGCTGCTGTTGCTGCTGCTGCTGCAGCTTTGAACGCCTGGGGCACCGCCAGCTCGTTGAGGCGCCGCTGCTGCGTCGTCTGGAGGCCCTTGACGGTGCGCAGCACCAAATCCTAAACCCTAAACCCTAAAATCCTAAATATTAAAGCGTAAACCCTAAAACCCTAAATCCTAAACCCTAAAGGGTACGCCCTCAGCCCTAAACCCTAATATCTAAAGTTTAAGGGCTAAACCCTAAACCCTAAACCCTCCCCCGGAAACCCTAAACCCTAGGCATCCTTGTATAAGGGTTTATTATTATTATTTTGTCTCTCTGTGCGGTGGCCGCAGAAGCGGCGCTGGGGTGTATAGGCAGCTCGGCATTAAAGAAAGACAAAGAAGAAGCACCTCCCTTAGCTGCGTCTCTGCAACAGCAGCAGCAACAAAACCCTAAACATCAATAAGGCATATAAAGCCCTGCAGCAAAACCTCAACTCCCGCTGACTTGTATTCCTGCTGTTCCTGCTGCTGCTGCTGCAGCAGCACTGACTGCTGCTGCTGCTGTCGCTCCTCCTGCTGCTGCTGCAGTCCGATGCAGCAGCTTCAATGCAATATTTGCACTCTGCGTGCTGTGCACCACCAACAGCAGCAGCAACAGGAACAGCAGCAGGAACAGTAGTAGGAGGAGCAGCAGCAGCAGCAGCAACAACAGCAGCAGTAACGCTGAAGAACCTCAACCAGGCTAACGAGTTGGAATCTCAGTTGCCAGCAGCAGCAGCAAGTGCTGCTGCTGGGCTGCTGCTAGGCGGCTGCTGCTGCTGCTGCGGCCGCTGCTGCAGGCCTTCGCAGCAGCAGCAGCAGCAGCAGCAGCACTTGCTGCTGCTGCTGCTGCAGCAGGCGCAAATGTCATAAGGTGTGTCTAAAAGAATATTTTTTTGTCTTTATATGGCAAACAACAGCACCCCAAAATAAATGCAGTGCAACAGCAACGTTGTCTTCGTCTGCTGCTGCTGCAGCAACTGCTGCTGCTGCTGCTGCTGCTGCAGTTGTTGCTGCGGCTGCCGCTACAACGCCCGTTGATGCCGCAGCTGCATGGGCGAGTGAGTGGGTCCCTCCCTAGCTAGACTCTGCTACACCTGCTTCTGCTGCTGCTGATACTCCTGCTGCTGCTACTCCTGCTGCTGCTGCTGCTACTCCTGCTGCTGCTGCTGCTACTGCTCGGGTGGGGGGTCTGTGCCTGTACACTTTATGATGTAGCTGCTGAGGCTGCGAAAGGCAGCAGCAGCAGAAGACTGCGGATGATTCTCCACAACCGCGTAACCCTCCTCACAAGCCTGCAGCAACTGCAGCAGCAGCAGCAACAGCAGCAGCAACAGCAGGAATATCAGCAGCATTAGAAGCAGCAGCAGCAGCAGAAACAAAGAACGAGAGTAAAACAAATAAAGAGACGAACAAATATAAACAAGCAAATAAAGAGACACACAAATATAAACAAATACAGAAGCAAACAAGTAAAGAGACAACTAAATAATAATAATAATACAAACAAATAAAACAAAACAAACAAACAAACAAACACCAAACAAAGATTTACCTGCTTCTCTAGGGGTATTCTCCCTGCGAAGGGGACATTCATATCTTCGCACATTTGCTGCATGCATCACACATACTCACTTCAGCATACTTAGCTAGCTGGCTAGCTAGCTAGCTAGCTAGCTGGGTTTTCTAGTTGTACAGCTGGCTGTTTAGGTAGCTAGCCGGTTGTCTAGCTAGCTGGTGAGACAGGCATCTAACTGGCTAGCTAGCTAGATCCCTGTCTAGCAAGGCAGCTAGCTAGCTAGCTACCTGCCTCATCAGCCAGCGTTGTCAGCCAGCCATCTGCCTCTTTTGTTTGCTAGCTAGCTAGCTAGCTGGCTAGCTGCTTCTCTAACTAACTAGCTAGCGAGCTGCTTCCAGCAGCAGCTATCTGTTTCTCTAGCTAGCTAGCTAACTAGTTGCTTCTATAGCTAGCTAGCCAGCTGGCCAGTTGCTTCTGTGTCTAGCCAGCTAGCCAGCCAGCTAGCTAGCTAGCTAGCTAGCTATTCGCTCGCACCTGAGCTCCCCCCTTGTGAGGCCCTTCAGCGAAGAGAGACTCCGTCATATTCTCAACGACCCCCAACACCGGCAAATTCACCTTGCGGCTGAGCAAACCAAACCCATACACTCCACAGATAGCTAGCTAGCTAGCTAGCTAGCTATGTATAGCTAACTATATGTAGCTAGCTAGCTAACTAGAGCGCTGGCTGGATAGCCAGCTAGCTAGCTAGCCAGTTTGTTAGTTAGTATGAGAAGGAAGAGGCAACTCGATAGGGAGCAGCCCCACACACCAAACTCAAATAGAGCAGGCATCGGCCTAAACCCTAAACCCTAAACCCTAATGCGTAAACGCTAAACCGTACACCCTCTAGAGAACACCGTACACCCTACGCCCTAAACCCTAGCCGCCACACCCAAACCCCAAAAGCCTGAACCCCAAACCCTAAACTCTAAACCCTCAGCCATAAGACCCTAAACCCTAAACCCTAAACCCTAAACCCTAAACCCTAACTGACCAGAAGTTGATTTGTTTGCGGACATCTTGCAGTGCTGCCTCTTGAGGGGTTGTCACAACCACCGCGCCGTTGGCCTCCAGCAGCGAAGACAGCGAAATGTGCTCGTCAGACGTCCCTTAGACACATAACAAATAGCTAGCTGACCAGCTAGCTAGCCACCTAGCTAGCTAGTTATCCACCTACCTACCTAGCTAGTTATCTACCTACCTAGCTAACTAGTTAGACAGCTAGCTAGCTAGCTAGATAGCTAACTAGCTATCGAGCTAGTTAGCTATCTGGTGGGCTAGCTACTAGGGGAGATACCTCCCTGGCTAGCTAGCTGTGGGGCTAGCTAGCTAGCTACTTGGCTTCTCCTTAGCCTCAGCCATTTCTTAGAGAAAAGGCAGCAACTCCGTTAGACCTAAACCTAAACCCTAAACCCTAAACCCTAAACCCTACTTAGCATGCCTCATTCTGCGCTGTCTCTCCCTCTTCATCGACATATACCCCCCTCTATCTATCCAGCTAGCTAGCTAGCTAGCTGGCTAGCTAGCTAGCCAGCTGTGTGTATATCTTACCTGGAGGTGTATCTACAATAAGGAAGTCGAGGGCCCCCCAGTTGACGTTGTTAAGAAAGGCTTTGATGAGCAGATGCTTCTTAGGGCCCCGCCACACCACCGCGCTGTCCCCCTCAGGCAGCAAAAACCCTAAACCACAAACCCTAAACCCTAAACCACAAACCCTCTAAACCCTAAACCATACACACTATTAACCCTAAACCACAGACCCTATAAACCCTAAACCACAGACCCTATAAACCCTAAACCACAAACCCTCTAAACCCTAAACCGCAAACCCTCTAAACCCTAAACCGTAAACACTATAAACCCTACGCACTATAAACCGTATACCCTAAACCCTATATACCCTAACCCTTAAACCCCATAAAGCCTCTAAACCCTAAACCCTCGAAACCCTAAACCCTCAAGACCCTCAAAGCCCTCAAGACCCTGAGAACCCTCTAAACCCTGAAAACCATGACAGCCCTCTAAACCCTAAACCCTAAACCCTAAACCGTAGGGAGTGTTGTTCGATATACCGATGGAGATGAGGCAGAGATCAGGACGGACGAATGCGGGTTCCCAGCCCTCAGCACTTTGATATACATCTGTGTTTTGCTGCTGCAGCATCAGCGGCAGCGAAGGCCCGCACAGATCCATGTCGCACAAACCCACCGAATAACCCAAGCTGTTCAGAGTCCACCCTGCAGCAACAGCAGCAGCAGCAGCAGCAACAGCAGCAGCAGCAGCAATGGTAGTAGTAGTAGTAGCAGCAGAGGAAGAAGCAGCAGCAGCAGCAGAAGCAGCGCACAGACGAACGAAGACAGTCAGAAATACCTATTATGCAAATCTTTACAACAACAGCAATTCAGAAACCCTAAACCCTAAACCCTAAACCCTAAACCCTAAACCCTACCTAGTTGAGAGGCGACGGTGGATTTACCAACGCCTCCTTTGCCCGATAAAACAATTATTTTGTTTTTTACGTTTTTTAGCTTCTCTGCTATCTCAGGACTCTTCTGCTGCTGCGGTGACTCCTTTGCTGCTGCTGCTGCTGCTGGCTCCCCCGCTCCTGATGCTGCTGCTGCTGCTGCTGCTGCTGCATTGTTGCCTTTCGCTGCTAAGCAGAGGCTGCGGCCAGGGCAGCCCGCGCAACCCGCAGCAAGGCCAGCGTTTTCGCTCTCAGGGCCAGGGCAGCTCTCAGATATTTCCTGCTGCTGCTGCTGCTGCTGTTGCTGCTGCTGTTGCTGCTGTTGCTGCTGCTGCTGGTGGCGGTTGCAGAGCAGCAGCACTGCTGCTGCTGCTGTCGCTCCAACGACTGCGCTGGCGGCGCAGAGCACAGCCACAGACCCTTTCGATATACTCATCAGCAAACCTCTGTTCCCTTCAATTGAATTTGCTGTTGCTGCTGCTGCTGCTGCTGCTGCTCTACTGTCTGCTGCTGCACCACCCAGGGGCCCTCAGCTTCTCTGTAGCTTCTTTTTATTCCTTTGTTCTTGTTGGCTTTCTCCTGTCTGCTGCTATTAGTCGCCTACGAAGGAGAATAAGCATCGAAGAAGCAGCAAACTGTTGATTCTGCTGCTGCTGCTGCTGCTGTTGCTTCTTCCGCTGCTGCAGAAGGCTGAGGGGTAAAAGGATGTCGGCTTTAAACCCCTTGATGATGATCTTAACAAAGAAGGAAGAACAACTGTTGTTGCTGCTGCTGCTGCTGCATGCCTGCGGCAGCAGCAGCAGCAGGCGACGAGTAGGGGGCCCC